AATCCATCAAACATTCAATGGATACGAGACGAAGACGACTTTTATAAAACATTTATTTGAATTAATGGTTATTATTTTGATTGAAGCAACGGTGGAAAATGAGAATATTTTAAAACTGTCGTGACTAATTGCAATTTTATATATTAGGTATACAAATATTACTATATAAGAACAATAATAAAGATCTTTCTTAAACAGAAGAAAATATCTAAAATATGTACTTATTTCTGTAATTTCTCTATAAATAAATAATTAACTTTTTATTAGAAATTGACAAATAAATAATAAGTAATGCTTTATAAAACATATCAAACAAAGACGCATTCATCTTTTAAACTATATATTTTTTTTTAGTCTTTATAGACAAAACAAAAAATAATTCCCCTATTACCACAAAAATTATACCATCGAAAAAATAAACGGCGCGACTACATGGAATAAACAGATATGTAACATTTTCATAGAAATTAAGATAGCGATACAACTTTATATATAGCATTATTCGAGAAAAAAGAAAGCAACAATACGCTTAGTCCCAGAGATATTACAGCTTGGTTATTTTGCTATACAAGGGAAAACCAGAGTATTTCTTATGCATGGGCAACAAGCATGCATCTTGCAATTAGTATTACATGAAGTAAATTTATGTATTCTAATAAAATCCTACTTAAATATTAATTTTCTTCCTACAATAAAAAAATAATAGTTTAGTTTTGGTTTTATACAACCTTTAAACAACCTTTGTCATAAACGACAATCGGTGATAATTTTGGCGAGGTTATATGTCATGACCCCTACTCTTGTTTATTTTTTAATGGCACTTTCTGGCAGTAGTAGGCCTTAAGGTTGTATTTGATTTTTAAATGGTGTAGTATAAATTCGAAAATTTTTTTTAGATATCGATTCGTGTTTCTGGAAACGTTCTATCCTTTTATAATTTTTCTATAATTAGTATTAGTTTTTGACAAGTTTTATGTCAATTTTTAATAAATGACATCTAGAAATAGAACTCGCCAAAATTATATTCGATTGTTATTCCCAGCAGTCTTTGACGCTGTTTTTTTTATCATTCGGTATTTAGTATGCAATATCCAACCCCTTAACTTTTTTTCAATCATTATATAAATCTATTTTGATTTTACACTTAAAAAATCATATTTCATAACTAAAAATCCTAATAACAATCAGTATTATCGAAAAAAAAGGCGTCCAGTTGGCTTAGAAATGAACATCGATTCCCCATATAATTTTACACATAAAATGACAGCGATCTTCATTTCATAGCCATCGCTGACGCCGTTTTTTTCGATCATATGGTATTTCACTATTGAACATTTTTCGTAATTGTGCCATCTTTAATTTTTTTATATATTTTTTCAACAAATTAATATTCGCATTTGTATACTTGGTTTTGATAATATTTAAATATTATGATCAATAAAACCAAACGTGACGAAACTAACTTAATGTAATGGTTCATTACTTATAACGTGTGTGTGATTTACTAATATTTCCAAAGATTTTTCCCTATTTTACCTTTCGGCACCGCACTGATGTAACATAGCCTTACTCACCTTCGAAATGAAACTTCTTGGTTTAAATCGTCTCTATTTTTGCAAATTAAGCAAGTTCGCACCATTGTCTTATTGTTTCTCAATAAAATCACTAAAAATAACACCACAAAACACTAAAATATCTGGAAATCACCTCGTAAAACATGTAGAAAAACCACAACATATTGGCAACGCCGTAAAGCAATTTATGAACGAATTAGAACTGGATGTTTTGTTGGCTGCCTAAATTTAGGAGTGAAGTTAGTAAAATGCGTACGTTTTCGGCATCAGCTGGCGTTGCGACGTTGTCGATTGTTTAATGTTAAATTTCTTAAAATCTAAAAATTATAATTACAGAAGATTTAAATAACGGCTAATGCTGATTGGGAGTAGTTCGTGCTTCAATTATTGTCGGTTTAAAGTATTCTACGACGTAATCTATATTTGGAATTCCTGGTTTACATTGTGGGTTAGCTATACCCGTACGTATACGTAGGTACGATTTCCTTTAAATGCGGCCGAAGTGGAAATTTGGCATACATGCAATTTTCTAAGGCAATGATGGATTTCGCCAAAATGTGAGTCGCCGGGTCTAATTTATTTGGATGTCATTGAAATAGCCTTAAGTAGTGTCTTAAAACAATAAATACGAAATCGCAAAGTTCGGTTTTACCTTTATATTTCTCTTTGCCTCGGATTTTTTTAGATTTTGAAGCATAACATTATAGGGTTCAGCAAGGAGGAATTTTTCTCTAATAATCATTTTTTGTAGTTTACGAGATTCCCGTAATATGCATTCTGAGAATCTGCATATGAGACAACCTGTATACTTCCCGTGCATCACTTAAATCTATTTTCTTTGAACTAAATTATATTTATTTGTTATTTAATTAATTTATTAGCACTAAACAAATAAAAGTTTAGTAAACAAAATCTGTTAAACGACATCTTATGTCAACTACTGATAGTACTATTTGCGTGATCTTGAAATACTTCATTAACAGTAATCGATTATGTATTTATTTCATGACTGAATTCGCTGAAAATGATAAGATATTATTCGTAATATATATCAAGGTATATTCACGATATTAACATCAGTTAAGGTAGCTACACACATGCAGTTTTTTTCTCAAGGCGAAAACACGCAGTTGAGAAGTTGAGGGTGGTAGTGGCCAGCCGTAGCTCCAGCGTTAGTGTGTCGATCTGCGGAACGGAAGGTAATGGGTTCGATCCCCAGCCAGTACGGTCGCTTTATTTATATAAATAAAAATATTTATTTATCTAAATAGAGCGACCAACGAGCCGCCACCTCAAGGAAGGCAATTGCAAACCACCTTGAGTATATTTGCCTTGTACAGCCTCTCAAATAGTGCCGTTCGGATTCGGTAATAAACTGTAGGTCCCGTGTACTTGTGAAACACTGATGACAAACATCACAAGTACATGCGAGAGGTAGCCGACGCTCTATATAGAGTATGGCACTGTAAGAAGAAGGTAGCTACACACATGCAGTTTTTTTCTCACGTCAATAATGACATGTATTGACTATTTCCATTCTAAATATCTTAAGAACGGTTGCTCGTAGCGATTTTTACAAAGAGATATTTTTTGCGTAAAAAATCACAAAGATGTATATTTTTTAGCTCGGTAGTTTTATACAGGTTCGGACAAAAAGTTATTACGCGTCAAAACAGTTTAAACACACGTAGGTGGCGCCCTCTACTAGTAGGAGTCATATTGATATCAAAATCAAATTTCTCATGACAAAAAACTCCCAGACACCAATTTTCATCCAAATATTGACGTTATTTCAGAAATTATTCGGAAAAAGTCGAAATAAAAATGAAACTTCTACACCCTGTATCTGTGAAACGAAGCATTTTAGGACATACATTTATACGAACTTTTTTACTTATTTTTATCTGCAGAATATACTGCCAAAGTTTCCGGAATACAGTTCGGACCACCCTGTATACATTTTTTTAATTTTTACTCTTTAATGTTTGCATAATTATTAATGTAAAATATAAATAAAGAGAGAGAAAGAGAGAGAGAGAGAGAGAATAAAAAAATACTTTATATTATACACATATTTTCTTTGTTTGATTTGTCTTCTTTTATTTTTAATTTTATTAATACATAGTGATAACATATTACAAAAATATTATACATATTATTAAAAACCTATTATTTAGTACTTAAATACCAAGTATTGAAATTATCCTGTTAAGCCCTTACATTAGAAGAAAGTAGAGGTCCCTTATAGGTTAAACCGAGCACGCAACGAAGATCGCCGCGCACAATAAGTAGCGAAGTTCCAGTCACGCCCAAGTCTTCCAACCTGTACACAAAACAACGATTATAAATTAATGATATTAAGTACCAAAGTAACGAGTAACTAAAGTAACTAAAGTAACGAGTCCAAAGTAACAGTCGAAAAATACCGATTGTGCCATTTAAAAATCAATATTAACTTCGGGTGAAAAAGGAATTGACCCAAAACAATTGAATACGTCAATCAGTCCTATGTCATATACTAACATACCAATTCTCGTTTTTTTATCTGAAAAAATAAAAAAAATATAGAGGTGAGCCACTTTTGAGACGCACCCGGTATATTCATTATACACCTCACGACCCTGGCTATCTTATGAATGAAATCGGCCATGTTTTTAGAGTCCTTTAGTCTTGTGATCTCTAGTCACTTCAATGTGCTCATCGCTAGTCACTGCAATGTGCAAATCTTTTATGTATAGATTACAAAAATAATAAAATTATATAAGAATTCTTGTCATTTAACTGCTGATATAGAAATGTAATTCCACACTGTGTTTGTCATAATGTGGATCAATCTGCTCTCACTACCGGTTTCGGAGCCCTACTCCATCATCAGGTGAGCTTGGGTCGATTCCATAAAATGAAAATCGCAGCGCAGAGTACCTAATTCCGACTTGTCGCAAAGTAGCGGTTAGATATTAAGTCCCGCACGGGAGATAGCGGCCTGCGTGCAATGGTAGTACTTTCGCACCACCGAGGCGCAACTATCGATAATAAAAAGATGGTAAAAAGGCTATTTTTCAGGCAAGCCAAATTATAAAATGAAAAACAAATTTCTTGCAGTATAAAGCTTGATTTTCATGCATCCGTTGTCCAACGATACGTTGATACGATATTAATTTTATTGGTTGAATTTAAAGGCTTCGATTGGTTAACCGTTTCTAACCAATCGAAGGTTTTAAATTAATATCGTATCATCGTTTCGTCGGATAACGGATGCATGAAAATCAAGCTTAAGTATAAAATAAAGTTATATAAGAATTCTTGCCATTTAAATTAATTAAAATTTAAATTTGTTTCTTGAATTCTTGCCATTTAAGTTTGTTTTCCATTTAATAAGTATAAAAATATTGATATACTATTACATTTTGAAAAATTTGAATTCCAGGACTCTATATCTTCCGGAGCCACCGCAAGCTCCATGCAAGGCAACACCCACATATTCCAAGCCCTACGCTACCTCCAGAACGTATGCAACCATCCGAAACTCGTCTTAAATCCCACGCATCCCCAGTACCAACATGTCATCGCCCAGTTGAAACCAGGGTTGCCACAAGCTACACAATTGTGAATTTTGCTACACATTTGCTTCCATGACTGCACAGCTACACCACAATGGCCTATGCTACACATTTTGAGAATTTACATATTTATTATAAAAAATAATACCAGAACAGTAAATCAGCTGAAAAAAGCTGTTGTTTTTTGCTTTTAAGTTATCTAAGTTACATTAAAAGAGGCCGCCAGGGGACTTTAAATTTTGAACTGACACATATCATTTTCGGTCATCTATTGGTCGAGTCAAAAACGGTAAATAGAGAGGATTGCTTAATTCCTTAAATAATACATAACACGTACTTTGGCCAAATTCAGAGGCCAAATTTCATTGTAGTTCATACGTGAATAATATTCAATCCCTATTTCACTTTTCCTCCCATATCAGCAAGGACTGCAGTTTCTAGGAATTTGGCCGATTAAAACGTTGTTGTTTTTTTTTTTTTTTCCCCGTTTTTTTTTTCTTTTTTTTTTTTTATTGTTTAAGTTTTTAAACAGCCTTTTTAACCGCTTCTCATTTTTCCATAAATTCGTTAGTTTCGCGACATCAATTTTGACGTCATTGCAATATTTGCTGGCATTAGAAGAAATGAAATGGGAAATGAATATATTGAGTAACAACGAACGTGGGAAAGTGAGCTCTTATCGTAGATCGTAATTCATGCTTTAAAAATTTGGCGATTTTACGTCTTATTCTTGGTCTTATTGGATAGTTTACAATAATTGGTCATCGGATTTGCTACACAAGGTGCTACACATTTTTATGGTCAAGTTCTGCACAATCAAAAATTTTCTTGTGGCAACCCTGGTTGAAACAGCACAATTCTAAACTCGAAGACATCGCACATTCGGCCGGCACTAAAACAATTGCTGAACGATTGCGATATCGGTACCAACTTAGACAACGGTATTTACAAGGAATCGGAGATCGTGATCAATCAGCACAGGGCTTTGGTGTTCTGTCAGTTGAAGGCGATGCTGGACATTATAGAGAACGATCTGTTCAAGAAGCACATGCCCAACGTAACGTATTTGAGGCTGGACGGGTCGGTGCCGCCTGTTATGAGACATTCGGTTGTTACACGGTAAGTTTTTGTTTGTCGTAGAACTATAGCCCAACTATAGTGCTTCTCACGTAACTTTTTAAGTCACAATCCACAATTTTATCCCCAATCCCTAGATCATATATATACTTACGCGGATGCATGCACGCCATACGATTAGCATTAAAAACGATGTCTCCAACATCACGACATGCTGTTTTCAAACCTTCTTTATTGCACTTATGAAACAAAAAATTTTGTCATAATTTTGTCATAATCCAAATATCCAAATTCATAATCTTATCTCCATTGTGTAACGACGCTTGTTTTTTGGGGTTTTATTTTAAAAATTTGAGTCCTATTACTAAAAGTAACTAGTAGTTACGAGTCCATATAAGTAACTAAAGTTTACATCACTAGTTTATAGCAATGGTGTCTACCAACGATGAGCCTTTTTTGGTAATTTCCATGCCACCAGCACGTGAGCTGACTCCTCTAAACTCAAAAAAGTTTTTGAGCCTTAATTTTACTCGTAGGAATTTTTCAGTCTCTGTCGATAGCCTCCTGCAATGTCTCACCCATACATTGAGGGTAACAACTTAAGAGGCGGCCATATTGCACTTCTGGTCGCTCTCAGGGGTCGCTGTTAAAGCGGGTGTGTGGTCAAAGGAAATATATATTATATTTGCAGTTCGCCTTAAGGCTTAGCCTGATCCTGTCATGTTAAGACACACCTAAAATTCCAAAACACACGTACTTTAATTAAGGCTTGATTAAAGTTTGCAGAGCATTTGCCATAAAATAGCCAGCAATTTGTTACAAACCATATACCATATATGGTCATTGTAATCACAAACTTCAATCTATTTCCGTTTTGTAACGGAATTTTTAAATTATGTCTCTATTTTCGAGAAAAATTTAGTCCAAACATAAGGAATATTTCATTGATGTTTGACCATTACTCAAAAATCTTGAACAAGAAGTTTAAAATGTGCTACAATACGGATATAGTATAATTCTTTTATCTTAATTTCTTTTACTTTGTGTAAAAATACCTAGCCAGTTTTACATAAAACGTTAAATGCCGAAACGCCGGTCGGCTACTCTTTTCGGATCTAGTGAATAACTTAAGGCTTCACAGTTGAAACCTTGAGAAAAAGCTGTTAGTGTGTGGCTATCTTTAACATCAGTAACAGCTGAACGACAGACGCAAATAAAAGTGATTCACTTTTCTTAATGTGATTTTAATTACCTATTTTAAAGGCTTAAACGTGAAGTGCATCATCGACTGCCTAATATGATTTCTTTTTTTTTCAAACGTCACGAAAGTATTAATTTTTACGACGCGATTGAGGATATGAAAAAGTCATTTTAACGGCTAGGCATAAAAGTAAAGCGCTTTTACGCCAAAGCATAAAAGTGAGAAAACATATATAATTAAACTGACATAAAGTGTCAAATTCAAGGAGTGGAGCCATAGTTTCGCGACATATAATTAATTAGAAGGTATTACATTTAAATTTATTTATATTATTTGCAACGCTTGAAATTGTTTTAAAAATTATTTGTAACGTTTGAAAAAAATTATATGTTCTATTCGGAGTAAAAATGCCTTTTTGTACCTATTTGTAAATATTAAAATATTTTCTACTTTCTAAACAACACGAAACTTCTGTATACATTGAGGCTTCTGTACTCTCAGGGCTTTAACAAAAGCCAGTATCTGAGACGGCTCCACAGAGGCCAGCTGTCCATCCTCGACATCAGCCGTAAAATCTGTACCATGGTACAGTCGTCGTCAAGTTCTGCGCACTCCAGTGGATAACACCGTGATAAGGTGTTCTGTGTTTCTCCATTTTGCCCACAGAATCTGCCTTCGCCGTTGTTTCTCAGCTTTAGCCTACTGAGGTGTTCGTTGAGGAGACAGTGTCCTGTTAGAAACCCAGTGACAATCCATGTCCACGAAGGCACAAACTGCTGTTTTTTTGCTATCCAAGCTTGCCTGTAATAGCTCGGTTAACTGATACAGAGCAGTTTCTGTGGATCTGATTTTTTTCTTCTAATCTGATTAAAATTTAGATGATTTACTCTAATATGGTTGTCCACTACTTTCTCCATCGATTTTAATATGAACAATGCGAGACTAATAGGCCTAAATGATTTAGGGTTAGCCCAGTCAGTTTTGCCTATTTTGGGTATAAAGATTACTTTCGCTCTTCTCCCATGTAACATACAATATACCGGGTGTTGCATCGTCGAGCGGAACAGGAAATCCATGTAAATTTTAATGGGGTCAATTATTGACTTCCCTAATTATTTTAGAGAATAATTCTATTTAGGCTCTATTGAAGAGTACCTGTCCATATTTAAAAGAATAACTTTTTAGATATTTTGATTATCCCGTTTACGCAGTACGCTCCATTTCTTTTAGATATTTCTCCTTTCTTTATGGCCCTGTATTTACAAAGACCAGTCAAGTACGATAACTTCGTCAAACGAAGTTGTTACTCTGTGTTCCCATTACCTATTTAGTGCTATATTATTATTGAAACCCATTCCTACATCGAAAATATTAGCCATGAATTACACTACCGAAGAAAAGTATTGATGATTAAAATGGTATTATCAAGGAAATAGTTACCAAAAGGTGAAAATGCAACTGAACGGAAGGCAACCCGTGGCGGTTCACCAGCGAAGCCGGAGTCATGAGTGTACCAAAGTTAAAAGATATGCTTCGCCATTAGGTAGGATTTCAGGGACCCACGTTTTTTTTGTAGGTTCTCTAATATTGCCTAAAAAGCTATTTTGCCTAGTACTAAAATATTCTGAACTAGAAGTTCAATACTAATTGTTATTATTATTTTCTAGTTGTTCAGTGCCACATAAGGATAATACCGTACTTTAACTTAAAAGCGCTGACCCCGAAAATCTTTTTTACCGATTTTTTATTTTTCATCTAGTTCTTTGTCGGCATAATTATAGGTTATCTAGTTTATATTCTGTAGATAATGTAAAATATGTTTTAACGTGTATTTTTTATTTACCCTCTTGAGTACTATTTACTTACATCTTTTAATTTTGTTCTGAAATTAACAAAGGGTATCTCCACACCAGCCACCCTGTTTTTTCAATAATAAAGTTTCTGACGCAAAATTTTTGGTCATAACTAAAAATTAAAATATCTGGAAAAATATTTGTCTGAAGGGTAGGCAACCTAAATACTTTGAAGATTATATAAATTCCCCCCATTGAACACCGGAAAAGTATACTGGGTGCTCCATTAAAAAAAGGCAGTCACGGACGTTGAAGACACAGTGAACTTGTCGATTTTAAAGTCCTAGTATCCATATTAATTTTCTCTCATCCTGTCTAACTTTTCGGGTCAAATTTTAATTTGGTTTACATGCATAATTACTGTTAATTATACTGAGGCTATATAACAAGGTCAACTAAAATTAAGAGCTGTTTTTATCGAAATTTAAATTTACTCTTCATAATTTTCAACAATGTTGAATATGTCAAAATCCTTAGTTTTTACGTATATGCTTCTATTTATGAAAACTCACCTGTTATTTTTTTTCCTACAATCCGAAAATCATTATATATAGAGGGTGTTCCTTAGAAAATACACATTTTTGATGTGTAACTTCTTTTGGAGACACCCTGTATATTTCTTTATATTTTTTTAAAATGCTTTCAGTTAATCTACATATGCTGCCAAAATTTCATTTCGATATACTAAACTACCGTTCTCCTTGGAGCTTCCGCGGCGTCATGAGAGGCGCCACCCTGTATATTAAAAAAGACGAGCTCTTCAAGTTTACAATGCCATTACCTATACATTGTAAACAATATTGACATGATAAATTTTCCATATAATCGAAAGTATTCGGGCTATCAGATCCGAACTGATAACCTATCTTCGAGTGTTGTATTTTATAATAGATAGGATTGTAACCACAGTTGTCAGTCGTGTGCGCGTCTGTTGTCAAAGGTTTATCGGCTTCGCGGCACTTAATTGTTGTGTTTTGTTTTTACGGGTATGTACAAATGAGCTTAAATTTATACAGACAGAAATAACTTCCTGAAACATTTGCCTTTTTTAAATTAAGCCGTGAAAAGTTACTTACAATGTATTTTTGAACAAAAATTATTAGTTCTAAAAATTGAACTTTTAGGCGAACTTGACATTATGTGAGACGTAGGTTTTAATTTATGGTAACAGAAAGAGTTTTATAATATTTTTTATAATGTTTCTTTGTGATATACAGGGTAAGTTTCCTACGATGTTCTCTATGGGTATCTCGGAAACTACTGGAGATAGAGAGTCGGTTAAATGGGGAAAGAATTGCAGTTTTGTGGGGTTATAAATATAAGCCTTTCAGATTTTTGGACAAAGAGCTTGTTCATGGCTACTAGATATTTCGAAAAAACAAATTTCGGCTATTTTTAAAAATTGTCCCTAATTCCCATTATAAGCTGTTTTAGACAAAAACGTTCAAGATAAAATGTTTAGATATCACATCCTTTATGAGACTGTGCCTTCCGTTTTTTTCTAAAGCCTGATCATTTTGACATATGGCACAAACATAGGTTTTTTTTAAATGGGAAACCATTAGTTGGCCATGACTTCATAAAAAGCGCCAGTTTTTAAGCTTTTCATTGATATAAGCTATATATCTTCTCTTCGAAAAATAGCCTGAGTCGTATACCATAGATTTAGCAAGAACAGATATCACATTGTGCATTTTAACACGATCAAACAACCGGAGGTTAACTACGTACTGTAAAAACAAACTGAGATTAGAGAAGGGAGACTGAGAGGAGCCTGCCACATCTTAAATTTGCGCCTATCTACATAGTTTGATTTGCAGAAAAAGGTGACTTTAAAACCTTCACCGGTTATCAATAAACGTCTCAATTCTATTAAAATTAATAGTGTTTATTTTTAAAAGAAGCATGCGAATAATATGTTATTAACCAGAGGATATGCGTTGACTAATTAAAGGACATGTTTACTGTTTATGTGCTGAAACGTCTAGAAATA